TAAATTAAAAAAACAGAATAAATATAAACTTATTTATTACTAATAAGAATTATAAAGGATTTCGAGTATATAGGAATAAGTAAGTCCTAAAATAATAATTTTACTAATCCTTTTAATAAATTTAAATAAGGGTATTCCTACTATTATATTCTAAAGTATATTAATAATCAGTTAACTATAATTTTAAAATATACCTTCTTTTTTAACCTTAGCCGCATACTCTTTTTTTATAATAAATATCTATAATTTCTACCCTTTTATTATCTTTAACCTTAACTTCTCTTCTATTCGTATATATTATATCTATATCTCTTTACTATTAACTTTAAATATTAAATCTTCTTTTTATACTTATATATTAAGCATATTTTATAATTTTAAAATTAAAATTTAAATAATAATCCTTACTTTTTATTTTATATACTTTACTAATTTTTTAATTTAAATATTTATAGTACTTATTATACTAGCCTAATATTACCCTCTATTTTTTACTTTTATAGCCCTCTTATTCTAACTTTAATAACTACGCTTACTTTAAAAAACTTTTACTATATAAAAATATTTTAAGTTTAATAATATAATTAATAAGTCCTCTTTTATTACGTCTTTTATACTTATACTATTTATCCCTAAGATTTAAGTAATAACTTTACTTTTTAAAATACTAAGTTACTATACTTTTTTTTAAAACGCTCAAAAGTATAAATAAAAATAGCCTAGATATAGAGTAATATAGTAAATTACTTTTTATTAGCTCCTTTTTAATATATAGAAATAAAAATAAATTCCCTAAGTAACTTAGGGTATATATAAATAAATAAATTAAGAACGGAGGTAATACCTAGGCCCTTATAATAAAAAAGTAATACCGGATTATATATAGCTTCGGGTTCTTTATTTTTAAAAAAAGAGGTATTATTAATAAAAAGAATATATTTATTTAATTATACCCAAAACTACTTAATATTAATAAATAAAGTACTAGCTATATACCGAACTCTAAGGTTAGTAAACTAATTATTAAAAATATAAAAAAAAAGAGTAAGAAATTTATAGCTCTTAAAAAAGTAATTTAGTATATAAGTTTAAAAATAAAGAGCGAGGCCGTAATTCTTTTAGATTATAATAATAATAATAAGTAATAATTAGTATTATAATAAAAAAATAATTAGTTAAAATATTAATATATATTAAAAATTAAATTAAAAACTATAACTAAAGCTTTTCTTAAACTTATTAAAGTACTAAATACTCTTACTAAAGAGCATAATATAGTTTAAAAAAAAACGCTAGAGCTTAATAATATCTTTAATAATCTTAATAAAAAGGGATTTAATAAGAAAAAAGGTAAAACTAGGGGCACTATATTAGATACTAAGGCCCACAATAGTATTTAATAAAAATAGGATATTTAAAGTCTAATTTCTTTTTAAGTATTTAATTTAAAAATACGAATTTATATTTTAAATTAAGCTACTTAAAAATAAATTATCTCTAATCTAAATAAACTATATTTTAAAAAAGATATACTAATAAATAAGAAATAATTAGTACTTACCTTAGCTTATTATAAAAGTTATATAAATATATATAAAATAAATTTATTAATAATTTCTAATTATTTATTTTTAATACCTATAATAATATAGCTAATACGCTAAGTTAAGGGTATCGCGGTTATATACTAAATTTTACTAAATATATTAAGTAAAATTATAATCCTTATTTATATACTTACTTTACTTACTACGTATAGCTATATATCTACTACTAGTAAATACGTATACTTTATAAATAACACTTTAGTATATTAATAATATTTCTATTAACTACTTATAATTATAAATTCTTAAATATCTATCTTTCTAATAAACTAAAATATACTAAATATTACTTAATATTAACTTTTAACTATACTTATTAATAGTATTTATTAATAAATAATAAATACGCTCTAAGCCCCGCTATTTCCTAAATCTATTACTAAGAGCGAGATTTTAGTTTAATATATAGTACTTAAAAATATTAGTATTAAAAATATTAGTTTAAAAGCTTTTAAAATATATTATATTACTACTCGACGCATTTTTACTATATTAAAAAGTAATAGTAATATATTCTTAGAATATAAATAAATATAAAATAAGAATATAAATAAAGCTAAATAGTATTAAAATAAGAGATCTAGTAAATATTTAGAGGCCTTTAACCGTTAGACTATTAATATAAATAGTATTAATATCGGTACTATTAGTAATATTAAGATATCTATCCTAAAAATAATATTTAAAACTATAAAATAAGTTTTAATTACCTTACTTATTCTTCTTTCTTTTTATAACTCTAATTACCTATTTAATATAGCTAATAATACTCCTATTTACGCTATTTTACTACGCTATAAAATTAAAGTTCTCTTTTTATATTACCCTAACTCTCCGCCGCCCCTTTATAGCTTATTACGTAATATAAATTAGGAAAATAAGTACGAAACTAAGTAGCGAGCTCTTTAAATATAGCTATATAATAAGGTTATTACTTAGTATTAACAAAGTATCACTATTAATAATAAATAAGCTCTAACTATCTAAGGTATTCTTATTAATTTTACTTATATATAAGAGGTTTTCCTAGTTATAATAGCTAAGTTCGTATAGAATATAAGTATATAATTTTTACTTAAATATACTTTACGTATCTTACTAATTAATAAATTACTTAGTAGCTTAATATATTTAACCTTAATATTAAAGAAGGTACTTAGTAATAGTAATAATAGTTTAAAAAGGAGCTATAGCCTCGCGAGCTTAAGTAAAAAGGAGCCGTAACCCCTCGTTAGCTTAAGTAAAATAAAAAGAATAATAATAATATTTAATAATAGAGGTTTATAATTAAAAAATTACGTTTATAATTTAGTATCTTAGTTAAATTTTATACTTTACTTTACGTATAGCGTATTTATTATTATATAAGGATTTCTTAGTAACTTATAAAAAATTTCCCTTAGTTATTATTATATATACCTTAATATTGGGGTAATAAAAGAATAGAGGCCTATATAATATTAATTACTTTATATTATAAATAATTTCTATATATATATTTACTTTAAATATCTATTTTTTAACTACTTATATTAATTATAAATATAAAAAATAGTAAACGCTATAATAAAAAGGTCTATATTTCGAAATATATCTCCTAAATAGTCTAATAATTATTACCTATATTAATAGCCGTTATACGGATAGGCCTTTTTTACCTACTACTAATATCCTTTTACCCTACTAACTTAGAATATTAGTTAATTATTATAATTATTATGTAAACCCTATTAAAGTAATTAAATTAATTAAAATATACGTACTATTACCTTATTTAAAGTACTATACTTAACTTATATAAGCGCTATAACTAGAGGTATATTATTACCCTTTTAATTATATACTAAATAGTATTATATAATATATTATATATAGTTAGACTATTTTACTAATATAGTGTTCTAAATTGGTACTGTGGGGTACGCACATACCATAGGCCACCTCTTTTCAAACCCCCCCCCAACCCGGGTAGGTAAGGTAATTATAATAGTACCTACCTTAGTGATAAAAGAGGTAGGTACTTGCCTATCAAAATGAGAGATGACAGGAACTTGATGTTGTCATCCATCTCATTTGGCAGGCGCTCAAGGCACTCCGTAAGGTGGGTACCTGCCTGAGTATGTAGGTAGCTTGAGAAGTGAGGCAGGGATTAGGCCACGTACTGTACGTTCCTACCGTTACGGATTGAAGATGCTCAAAGTTTTGACTGTGCTCTTTCCTGCTTGAAATTGACAAAGTCCAGCTGATGGTTGTGGCATGCTCCTGCTAGATGTTCATCTCATCCACGGAAGATTCTGGGCAGTCGGCTGAAACGGTGAATCTGGAAGGAGGCCAGGGCCACACCAATGGTCTTTCCACTCACAGACAACCTCTGGAGGACACTCTCTGGAGGACCACCTCTGGAACAATCGTTGACTTCGCCCAACTCCCCCTCTTCGCAATTCTTCCTCTTCCCACCTCCATACCCAGCACTGCGCACCACTTTATTGACCCTTCGTGCCAACCGTACAGTTGCGCTGCTGATGTTCACTTCTTCTTTTCTCGCTCTACCTCTCTCTCATACCTGCAGCTGGCACATCGCCAATCCCGATGCGGCCAAATAAGTGGCGTAAGACGCATATGGCGTTCTTCCTGTTCCAATGCAAGGTCCTGACCATCGTGTATGAGTCCCAGTTTGGAATAAATGCCGGTGTAATGCGGTTTATCCCGAGAGGTAAACCGTTCTCGTCTGCGCCTCTAGTGTGAATGAATTAACTGAGGATCGTGGCAGGCATTCACTACAGTATTCCTACCACAGTATTCGTATTGCAGTATTTCTACTGCAGCATTCGTAACGGAGGCAAGCCTTTTCTATTTGCGTGACTGCATTTCGAGGACGAATGAATCGACTGACAATCGCGAAGACTTTGGAGATTCGTTGTCCGCTAGTTGTCGTTTTCGCAACTCGGGAACATGCAGCCAAGACATGTCACCGACGCTCAACTGCTCCGAGTCTGACACCGTCAGTGTGCGCGCCCGTAAATTTCGTGGCAGGCATGCTCATTGAGGGCCTCGCCGAGGACCATCGAACTTCTTTTTTCTCGCTTTATTCCTCTCGCAACCATTGAGCGGATGACACCAGCGCCGATAATCTCCGACTCGACCACCACAGGACCGCAAGTCCGTATAGTGCCGTCCATTATTCTCTGATTTCCTCCCTTTTCTTGGAATTCGGAAAACCACACAAGCCGCGCATTTTGGAGCAGCTCGTTTGCGTTGTTGTTGGAGGACGTGCTTAGGAAGTCCCTTTCCCTGCTTGGCGAAAGCTTCCACACTTGCAGCTGGTCCATCGCCAATCATCATCGTGTTGCTTCCTTCATCAAAACTCACACGCGCAAGCACATCATCCCTAAGATGCCCACATTAAGACGCAGAACAGAGGTCCCGCACCCTGTCGAGAAGCCTAAGGTCAGCGAGACGAAGTCCCGCGTGATAGAACCGATCACGAGCCTTCTCGAGCAGCACGGTCGAGTCAATGGCTGTTGTCAACAACACGACAGAGGTGGCGGCAGCAACATAGACAGAGGCACTCTGGATTAGCGAGAGAGATCGCAAGCTAACTCGAGCGGCTCGACACTGTCCCTAACGGAGGGGTTTAATATTATACCTAACGGTATAACCGACCCGAACCGAAGGTCAACGCAATGAGACGACATCCCATGGGATGGAGCTCATCGCGAGCTATCTTAAGCAGCTTGATACCGCACCCAACGGCACGGTCGACGAGATGACATCCAACTTGCCCGAGCCTGTCGTGAGACTACTCCAAAGCGTAAGGCAAGTGAGATCTCAACTCCCACACTTCTTGAGGAGATAATCGAAGCGAACATAACAGCGTTGCAACCGGGGTGCAAACAATTGCAGAACAGCCCATGATTGGTTCCATTGCTTCAGAGCCCACACCGGAGGCACCTCCAAGCTGCTCGACATCGTAGCTAACCGAGCGCCTCGTTATTCTATCTAACGGAGTAATTGACCCGGACCAAAGGTCGACGATACGACGTTCTACGCGTTCGAGCCCATCACGAGCTATCTAGAGCAGTTTCGAACTATTCTCAACGGCATAGTCGACCGGAATCGATCGACATCATCGCAAGCTACCTCGAGAGGCTAGCAGAAACATCACTAGATGGAGGATAGCTAGCTGGAACGAACTAGTTGTGTCTCACTCCCTCGTACGTTATCTCATCGCTTTGCTAAATACTGCGGACTCTCCTGCCATCAAGTGACATCGGCTGACTTTTGTGATGGCGGACTTAGCACTAAAGTACTGATTAGTGTCGGTATATAAGTCAGTAGGGCAAGCCTTTTGGTCGGTACGAAGCTCAATCATCGTGGTATTGAACTGGGTATGTGTGCTGAAAGAGGATGTTGGTGGGCAGAGCTCACGATTCCTCTGTTGGGTGTAAGTGGGTGGAAGGGCCCGTTTGAAACGGCCCGAATTAAATACCACGACCATGGAGCTGCCAGAGAGTTTAAAGCGGCAAGTTGATGAGTAATGTTCTCTGCATCAGCCCGCTTCGCCTGTTGCACGGTGCAAGTTGTTGGCTAGTCGTACTGACGAAGATGTGCTCACAAAGTCGTGCTCGATTGCAACATGCACATCAACAACAGCTGATGTAGGCGCCCTTTAGCCCTTGCGGGATGGAACCAACGTCAAAAAATCCATCATTATCAACATCACCATCATTATCAACATCACCATCATCACCATCACCATCATCATCATCATCATCATCGTCGTCGTCATCATCAACATGCACATCAACAACCACGGTGCTACTCAAAGAACTTCTCGCGACAGAGGCCGAAGCGCAGCCGACAGCGCAAAAGGAGGAAGTGGCAACGACAACACGAGGGAAGGCGAGTAACTCTTTTGCAGACTCTTGGCTGGAGCATGTCACCAGGCCCAGCGGGTTGGGCACGTTTGAGGTCCTTGCGGCTATTCAAGGGCTCATGACCTGGACACCAAAGCAACTGACCTTGGGTCAAGGCCATTGCCCACCGCGGCCAAACCGTAATTGAAAGCGCAAAAGAAGAAACCAACGACGACGACAATACGAGGCAGGGCAACCGATATAGGGCGAGGGGCCACGACCACGAGCAAGAAGGAGGAGTTGTCACCGAAGGAGGAGGCCGCGCTGGCAGCGCACATAATCAATGTCGCCCTCAAGTCACAGACCAAGGCATCCGGGTCTGTAGGAGTTGTAGTTTAAAATCAGCGCTGAAGGAACATGGTTGCAGAAGCTTACCCGACCAGCAGACGATGACTTGTCCGATCCTGACAGCTTATCCAGGTGCTTTGAGTAAACGAAGAGGAGTGGTGGAAGAGAATCCGTCGGGAGGGAGGATACTGTTACACATTCTTCTTGGTTGCTCACTTTTCTTGGTACAAGCGCTCTGTGTGAATAAAATGAGATTGGTGTTCCTGTCTACCACTGTTATGTCCATGAGTGAGTTGGTGCTTAGGGATGGGGTCATTGGTTATTGCTTATCTGATTAAAGATAAGTCAGAGTCGGCTGCAGCACAGCGGCGGCACTTAATGGGCACCTCATCTTCTTCCCCAGATCCACCGGTCATCCCAGTAACAGTAAGGTAAAGTACGAGGAAGGCTGGCTGTCAAGGTTGGGTAAGGTGAGTGAGCTGCGAATGTCCATCTCGGCCCCCGCTGGTGCAAGGTAATTACCTTAGCCATCACGAATCATGGCAATCACTCACAGGCATCATATCTGTCCAGGGTGCTCCTTTCCATGATACCTCACGCTGTTGTGGGTCATTATCTTTGGCACCGTGCTGGTTGCACCTGGTCATCTAAGGTGCTTTGTGAAGAAGTCCATGTTCCTACTCCAGTTCTAGCACATGCTGCTACTCTGTGGCGCTGTTCGAGCTCGACAACTTCTTGCACAAGTGGCAGTCGTGGCAGTCGTAGCTACCTTTATCTAAGGTACCTGAAGGTATTGGAATATTGACGGCAGAAGAGAGGCTTTTGGGAAGGTGCCCGGTCTGGGTCGCTTCAAACGGCCCTTCCACCTACCCACCTACTTCCACTTTTCATCCAGTCATGTCAACAAAGCGTCATTCCACATCTCTTCTACTACGCAGTTCAATCAATCCCAGATGATTGAGCTTCGTACCGGCCGAAAGGCCTTCCCTTGCTTACGTGTATCTTATACCATCAATCGTCAGTGCTTGAAATCGCACAACTTCGCATGGCCAGGGTACTCATCAGAAGAGCAAGGTGCGTCAACATTTTAGATTGAGAGACCTAATAGCAGGATCACGACTGGTTCTGTACCTTCGAAATCGAAAGAATCCTGCTTGACGATCCCCCAGCTTTGCCCACCATGGCACCGAGACTGCCCGCCCCCTTCGATGCTCGGATGATGGCCCAGGGGCAACTCATGAAGTCGCTGTTGATACCAAGAGCAGGCCATGCATCGACGATCCCGCGTTTTGTCCACGGAGATCGCTCGCCCCCTTCGACGCTCGGACGACGCGAAAGTCAGAGGCAAGCTACGAGAGGAAATCTTACCATGCGAGATTTTCTCTCAACCAGAAACCCACCAAGGAAGAGTCACGTCGTCAAACCCTCCTTCATCGTCCATCACATCCCATTTTCACTAACAACTCGTAGCAGAAGTATCACTTTCACAAGACTCCAGCACGCAACGCCGGAAGCAGTCGGAGAGCATTCTGATATGCCAAACGACTTCCTTCCACCAGAAAACCACCGACAAGTCCTCCTCCAGCAGCATTCCCCATACCCTTTCCTCCGTCAAAACAAGACTTTGACGGAGAACTGTCACGTGAACAACCTCCTTTTCTACCAAAGTGATCTCCCAACACCAAGTCTCCTCCATTAGCCACTCCGACGGCAAGCCTCCTCCAGTCACCTCGACGATAAGGACAAGAGCCCTGCCATCTACTCGTGTGGTTGAAGCCGGAACATGATACAGGCGGCGAACGTATACGCCTCTCGGGCTTCGGCTCAGGGGACATACGAGTGATTGCAGACGAGAAGTGGGCTACTCGACCAAGATCAGGGAGAACAACAGTGCGAAGGAGGTCGTAAGATACGTCAGTATTTGGAGGAAGGGGTTAAAGTACATGTATATCTTCATGTGGCAAACAGCCAGCTGTCGGCGCTGTTCAGGCACAGGGGAATCCCGATCAACATGCTCACAGAAGCAATCATTGTGTCGTTTGGGATCTCTCATTCATAATCGTGTGCGACAACACTTTCTGGTTCATTCCTCTGCCTGCCTCTGTATCGTGCACCATTTGCAGCTTCTCGCCTTCAATCTCTAGTTATACGATGCCTGTCAGGTCTCGTGAACCTCACCCCACGGTATTGTGGTTGTTGGAGTTTGACGGCAGAAAAAGAAATTCATGAAGTGGCCCGGCCGCTGCAAACGGCTCTTCCACCCCTCTACTTATGCCCAATGGAAGAATCGTGGCTCTGCCCACCAATGCCCTTCTTTCATACCATGTGCGCAGTCGAAATCGACTGTTGGACTTCGTACCGGCCGAAAGACTTGCCCTGCTGACGTGTATAGCAACAGTAGTCGTCCTGATAGCCTCGGTATTACTTGAACAACAGTTCGAAAATCGCCTCCATGTCCTTTTGCGTATGCCTTGTATAATTGTGTTCCATGTCATCCATGAGGTGCGGCAACAAAGTTACCAATGTCTTGAGGATGCGACACACAGACGAGCAAACCATGAGTGGTGGGGCGGTTGGTGCTCCTCGTGACTCAGCTGGCGACGGCCATTGCCCTTGTCGACATATGGGAGGAGACTTAAGTCGGAGATGGACGTCACGACGCACGAGTCCGTCTCGACCTAGGTCTAGGACTTGGTTGAAGATCAAGGTGGGCATTTCCAGGGCGAGGCCGACGCATTTGACGCTGTACGGAAACGGGGGGGCGTGTAGTTCCGGGTGTCGCGTAAGGAGATTCCCGCCTGGTACCTGGCCTTGGTGCACATCATCAAATCGACCATGAAGACGGAGAAGATGGCGGTGTGAGGTCCCTGAGGAGGATGATAACAACCTGATGCAAAGTCTCTAGGGAGATGGCATAAAGATGCTCGTTCTCGTATTCTGACATCGTTTCGTAGAGAATATAGCTTTGGGACGCGACGTATGACTCACTGTCCAAAACCCGCACATCGAAGCATCCGGCATCATTATCACGGGGTACGGTCCTCCGTAGGACTTCTCGAAGTATTTTTCAAACGTGAAGTTGAGGTACGTTTGGTAGGCGTCGATGGTCGTAGTATCAATCTTGACGCCGTACGGGCAATGTTGCGTGCAGTTTGCGCTGTCGTGGTGACGCTGGAGCCGTAGCCGCCATAAAATGAGGCCCCTGGGCTCGACGTTGAACTTGACCTGGGCGGACGCGATCCCGGGGCGCGTAGGCATCCACCAAAATGTACCTGCCCCTGCCCACAGATACTTGTCGGCCTCTGTGGTGACGCTTCTGTGACCGTGTCTCCGTCATTGTTCTCCTCCTCCTCTCGTCAGTCATAGTCTTTTACAAATCAGGGGCGTGGCGACATTGCGTACTCAGCGTGCAAGTCTTATCAACAAGCCCTCCATATCATCTGTCTGCATCTCCCAGTCAAAGGTCATGTCGTCTACTCCGAGCGCCGTCTACTGTCCGCGAAGAAGTCGGCCTTTTGCCTAATGTCGGCTGTCGGGGTCCTGCGTCGAGGTCTCGTTCCACCTGATGTCTGGGACGTGACCACGAGGCTGGCTCACGCGGCTGCGGGTAGAATCGAAAGTTGCGGATTCGTGACTCAAAAATAAGCAGTGTTTAGACAGAATTCCAGACATCTCAAATTTCAATTCTTACAATAACAAGGTAAAAAGAGGAGGAAGATCATTGCCAATCATGAACTTGGGATGTTGCCACAGGCTGACAGGGCGTGCACAGTGGTCTTTGTCATAACGCGATGGCCTCACGCATCGTGGAGCCGTTTGGGGAAGTGGACCTGACCCAAAGGCATTGGAAGTGAGCAGTGCCCCAGCTGCCCGATCCAGCAACAGTGGTGACGCTAATTGGTTGGCAGGTTCGCCGGAGCAGGAAGAGGTGGTCTGGGTGGCTGCCGCCACACACAGCCACATTCCAAAATCTCCCATTTTTTTGGGTGTTTTTTGCAAAATCTCCCAATCTCCAGCACGGGGCAGGAGGTTCATCCGGCGTCCACCCGGCGCGCCTGCCCCCACAAAAAAGTAGGTACGTACTACAGAGCCACAACAATGGCTGGAGGAACCCACCTTGCTCCTGCAAGGCAGAGCAGGATGGTTCCCAGTGAAACCAGCGGGAAAGGAAAGTGAGAAATGGTCGGGTACCTACCTACCTTACTATTCATGGGGAGGGGCTTCTTCACCGGCAACCGCGAAAGCACGTGATTGCGCGCTGTTCCTCTCTCCACGGAGTATTCGGTCCGGAATTGTCTTCAGCACGTTTCACTTCCACCGCCTCGCCAAAGCGCGTCTTGGAAATTGACACGCGCGATGCAGACCGCCACGGTCAACTCCATGGGGCTGTTGACGATGGCTCTTTCAAACCTCATTGTATAACCCCGCTTTCTTCATCATCTCCACGGTCAACTCCATCAATGCCTCGACCGACTCGCGCTTGCATATTGGCAGCCCCGGCGTCTCATTCAGCACGATCCTCCGTGGTTATGCTCCGCCTCCCAGCTTCACTGTATGCTCCAGACGCGACCCATTCACCATTCGCGTCATGGAAGCTTGATGTATTCAGGTGAGCCGCAGGGGTCAGGACCCGCAGATGTCGGCTACTTTGTGTGTTCAAGATGTGGACCGCGTCATCCTACGGATTGTTGCAAGTACCCGTGTGCTCCATCGTTCTAGCTGGACTAGACTGACGAGAGACACAGCACGCAGATGGCCGCAACAAAGCACAGACGAGCGCCATTATCAAAACCTTTAACTCATGACTATCACACGGACGACATCAAGTACAACCAGTGCGTCAAGTGCGACGACTTGATCTCCTAGATGATCGAGATCTGCCCCGCTAATGAGCCCAGGGTTGTCTTGTCATACTACGAGATCTGCAACGACAAGGTCCTTGACCTTGCCGAGCTCCCGGAGAAACGTCTGGCCTCTTGTCTGCCCCTCCGCAAGAAAGATGGCAAGACGATGGCAGTGAGTCTGTCCGAACGCGCCTGCGAGGATCATCTAGGTACGTCAAGGAGGGCCCTATCAAGAAGGCGACCGTCGGGGACTACACAACCAAGCTCAAGCTCAACGTATCTAGGTCCATGGACGCCGTTTTCAAAGAGAACTCGCAAGATATCTCTCGAAAGAAGTATCAAGAGAGCTGCGAGGACGTCAAGACCAAGCCGAGCGTCAGAGGTCGCGACCCCAGCTTGACTGTCATCTTGGAGGAGATTCCCTCCGGTGCGCTGATCTGGGGGACGATTGAGGATCTGTACGACTGCTTTTCGGACAGGACGGCTCGGGCTACACGGCTATACGGAACAACGACGGGAAGGCCTTCCACAATCAAGAGTTGGACAGGACAGCGACGTCTGCAGCTATAACAAGAATGACGTCTCCGACAACGATAAGAGCAGCTGCGACCCTTGTGAGAGCTTCTCCAAGGCCAAGACCAAGCACAACTCGAACATGGACCTTCATGCCGTCGACCTTGTGCATGAAGATGCCCCTGAACGACTGGAGGCTCGTCACGTCGCCGACGTTGTGGTCCGTGTGACTGGCCTAGGAACGTTGCCGTGTCCGTGAGTTCTACCTTGCACCAGAACAAAGGGCGGGTCGGGCTCTGCGTGCACCCTCTTTTTGATCGTAACCTCCACTGACACGATGGTACAGCCGCAGCTTTCCGAGAGACGTTGGCCATGCGTCGGTTCTTCAAGACGTCGCCAACAAACGTGTACTCGTGCGAGACGGCCGCGATCAATCCAGGTATGAATTCGCAGGTCGTAACCTCGTTCCTGACAATATTTTCGCTTTTGACCACGTTCTCGCTGATGTCTCTCGTCCTGACCTCCTGACCTTGACGCTCTTCCAGGAGCACTCTCTCCGCGAAGCGCCTCGACATCACCTCCCCAAACTACCACTCACTTCATGCTATCCCAGGCGTTCCTCAACATCTCTCCTTTGCGGCTGTGTGGCTACGTGGCCTGCTTCCCGGACATGAACCTGTCCGCATAAGGTGACTCTTCTTCTTAAACATCTACCTCCTGGTTGAGCTGATGATGATGGACCAGATCATCGACTAGCCCAATACTTTGGTTGCGTAGATGATGTTGAACGAGAAAATGGCCTGCCTTGACACCCTGTCGATGGACGAAAAGGTGATTGTCAAGCAGGGGGGGCACGTCACCTTGCGAATTACCACTTTGTCGAGGTTCGTTAATGATCGTTAGGACGTTGCGGGATAACTTTGACGACGGGTCAAAGCTAAAGAACAAGCAGAACCTGGCGCACTAGGGCTACGTCTGCATCAGCAAGAACCAGACATTGAGGGATGAAGTTGCCCACACTGGACAAGGTCTCCGAGTCTGGGTTGTTAAGGACAATCGACCCGGTGATCCAGGTTTCGTATGCAAAGGCCGGTAAGTCGACAATGAAGGGCGTTGTTATCAAGCTGACCATGTCGAAGCACGAGTTCGGGAACAGCGTCACCTTGTGCAACCCTGTCCCAAGGCTCGTCAATCACAGACCCAATACCACGGAGATGATCAGGCGCTACATCCTGGCTGCGGTCAGCAACAAGAACGTATCCACTATCCTGTACAACGTCGTGAGCACATCGATCGAGATGAGGAAGATAAGCAGCAACTGCGCAAAGAGCCAGGGGGCCTCGGGCAGGAAGGTCATCCACTGTCTGTGTGGGAATCCTAAAGTTCCAGGAGCTCAAAACTCGGATCCGAGGAACCGCTCGTACATGGTCGTCGACTTGAATGTCAACACCTCAAGGCTGCTTGCACAGAAGACGAGGCTCAGAATCTTGAATTGCGACGCGGAAACCAGTCTATTGAAGCAGGTCAAGGCCATCATGAGGTCGTTCGGCAACATCATGATCTTTAACGGCACGTTCCAAGACTTCTTGGGGTCAGAAGGCGTGATGGAGTGCCTCATCTCGGGCAGGTTGCGCGTTGCCTTTTCAGCATGTTGTACTGCTGACAGGAGATCAATACCCTGCTGTCGAAGAACGTTCCCCCGTCTACGTAGCCGACCTTTCCCACAACGACATCGAGAACGGGATGCTGGGCACGAAGCCGGTGACTTAGTGGCTTTTACCTCAAGGTCATCCCCCTCGCTATACCGCGGTCGCACTCCATTCCTCACGTCGCCGTAGCCGCTCGGCAATCTTGATCTTCTTTCTTTCAGGACACATACGCGGACGGTAACTCAGCGTTATAGTCGGGTTCGTCTTCGTGCGTCAGCGTGGTCCGGGCATCCTCGTTCCTGGCCCCCATCCTGAAGTTGATGATCCCATTGAATGGGTTTAGGTTCGCGTTCAACCCCCTGATCTGTTCCCCAGTCTTCTGCATTAACTTATTGGTAAAGACGAAGATATTCGGCCGAATTTCGTCCCTCATAACGGGTCCTCGAGGTGCGGCATCTGCGACGTCAGAAGCGTTGAGCCAACCGCGAAGGTAAGCCCATACCAGTTCGCCTACTTGTCCCTAATCTCGAGGTTCTTGTTGGAATTGATGGCAGAAGCAAACGGCCCTCCCTCCACTTCCATACACCCAACGGAGGATTCTTGGACTCTGCCCACCAACCTCCTCATTCCACGTCCCCGTTACGAAGTTCAACACCACAATTACCCTGCTGACTTGGAAACCAACAGTTCTTCTTCCACACACACACAAATACACAACCGCGTTTATCACCCCCGAGCCCGTTTCCATACGTCCTCAGGACCAACCGGGCATCGTAGGCCTCCACCACTCTTCCTAGTCAATACCAGGATCCCTCTGAACAGACGCCAGGAGTCGGGTAGGGGCTGTCGATTACGCCATACAACGAGACCTGCTGCGACGTAGCGATACTCATCGGAGATCACGCACACGTCCTCGACTTTTCTGCTGCACGACGTTAAACGTCATTGCCGCATCCTCCTCCAGGATAACAATTTTAGACCCCTTGGACTCGTGATGAGCCATGTTTCCCGGTAGCCATGTCATTTCCATGGGCCGACCGTGGCTGTTCGTCAACATGGTATTGTCGCCCTTGGTTGGCAAGGGGCAGGGGCGTGCTTCATCATTCCCATGTCCAAGCTGGTTTTGGGCTCCTAACGGAGAACCTGCAGAATGGGATCAGCAGCGCGATTGGGGACGCCACCTGGTCCGGCTTCACGTCGTGGGTCGGGAAGAACTTGTCCAGGTCTCACTCCATCGTGTCGCATTGTTCAACGCATGTCGTGAACCTTCTTGCCGTCGGCCAAGAGCCTGATGGGCCTGATCAGGACACCGCTGGACAACGAGATCACCAAGGCCTTTGCCTTCCCAAATACGTGCACCATCGGCATGTTAGGCTCGCACTATATCCTCCGCCTGTCAGCGATCTCGGTGTGGTACATGTTGGACCCCAACGGCATCTCCCGCGCCACCTGAGATCGTCCTCGACGTTATGACCCTGACGCATACCCCGGCCACGAACATGGGATGTTGTCTTTGAAAACGGTCCAGGCCAGTCACATAGCCTTCAGCGATAGCTTGACGGAGACAGTGGAGCCGCCAAAGACGCTGACTTCGGACTGGACCACTTGGTCGAAACGCTCTTGCACTTCTCCAGCGTCGCTAGCACCTTGGTCGCGGACATGTTCTTGAACTCACCCTGCACAGAACCAAGCTGACGGTCCGGCCCACGCTGTCCACTATCGAGCCGTGACCGACTATCGAGCCCAAGCGGACGTCGCATACATCTGACCGAGCGGGACTCACTGATACCGTTCTCGGAGATGACGGAATTCACAGCTACAATGACTCTGCCATCGTAGTACGCGCTTGCACAGGACTTGGTGACGAGCAAGAGCTCCAAGTTGGGAATAAGGACTATCCAAGCAGAGCTCCGTAGGTAGCTGCTCGATCATGAACACCTCGTCGTTGTATATCATGTCGCCAGTCGTATTGGCGTTCCAGGTGTCACACCAGTCGGTATCCGTCCACCAGCACAGCATGGCGAGGATGGAGAGGTCAACCTCGGACTCCGCTGATCTAGACCTGCCCGGTATCGACTACGTCTGCGGTCTCGGTTCTCGCGGATATCTTTGTTCGCATATTATACACAAAGACCATCTGCCCAACGTTATCTATGCCCACGGACACGAGAACGAAGTCGATTCCGACACTATCTCCTACGTCACCCATTTCTTGCGCATGTCAAACGGACATGTCCTGAACCCGGTCTGACTCTTCTGCTGCTTCTAGCTGCCATCTACGTAGACATGGTGCGGCTATCCAGAGATTCTTATCTTCGAGATGGTCCAGTCCGCGTCCACAGACCCCTGCTAGAGGGTCTTCAAGATTGCCCTGACGATCCCCGACAGTGTGTACGCCTCTGCGTTGGCGTCCGATCCATGTCTCCCCGTGGAGGACCGACATCACTCTGCACGAGCTGCACTCCCTTTGTAATCTTGATACAAAGCCCTTGGTGTCACACGTGTCGTCCCAGTTCACGTCCTTGTCCTTCTTTTTGGCCGAGATGATTGTAGTTCGCCTCGACGCCCGCCCCGACCTCCGCGAAGATGGTCCCCTTTATGTCCTTGACGACGGACTGCGTGATGAGATGGGCCGTATCCTCGCAGCCGTGCTCTGTCTCCATTCGACGCGGACGAGGATCGAATCGATGTCGCCGTAAATGATGTTGAAGCCCAGCGTCCGGGCGACCTTGAACATGTCCCTCATGTAGTATCTGGCAGTGACCATAACAATTATGGCGCGCATTGTGGAGTTGCTGATGCCAAAGCTGCTGGCCGCGGCGTCGAAAGCGCTCACTGTCAGTATTTTGTACCCTGCATGCCTGTTCATGTTCCCCTCCGCCTTCATCGTCGCTCTCCCTTTGGTCAAGTCATGTGAGACCTCACCGAATAACGTGGAACAGTCTTTTACAATGTACAAGTACCCTGTCCCGTCCATCATCAAGACTTGGTCTCCTTGGTCGATTGTGTTGTTGGTCGTGACGTCGGGTGGGAGCTGCGGCATGTTTATGTATCAGTAGCTTCTCCGCAAGACCATCTAGCGTCCTGTTGAAGAGATCCTTATCGACATGTATCCCGAGCTCTAAGATGATGTAGCCGTAGACGATGGCTGTCTGAAGACGAAGGTTGTCTCAAGACGCCGACTGTCTGAAGACGATGTCTGGCTTAAGACGATGGCTAGGTCAAGACGATAGCTAGCTTAAGACGAGGGCTGCCTTAAGACGATAGCTTTCTGAAGACGCCGACTATCTCAAGACGCTGACTGTCTCAAGACGATGACTGTCTCAAGACGCTGACTGTCTGGAGGCGATGGCTGTCTTAAGGCGATGGCTAGTTAAAGACGGCGACTGTCTTAAGACGACGGCTGTCTGAAGACGATGGATGGTTTAGGACGATGGCTGTCTTAAGACGAAGTCCGTCTGAGGATATATAGCGAGTAGTTTACCGGGCCATGTCTAGCGTCATGTTCATGGCCTTGGGCACGGGAGCGGTATAGCAAAAGGCCAAAAGGCCATGAGCTCGGAGTTGCCGGTGATGGTGTCCAGAAACGTGCTCCTCGAGATCCTGGCCAGACTGTACAACCCGTCGCATGCCTTCATCTTCCCGGCTACAAGGGCGTGCAAGTCTAAGCCCCTGACGTTTGACATCATCATCTGGACCACGGCGTTAGTTGTCGTCCATGTTCGTCGTCCATGTTCGTCGTCCATGTTCGTCGTCCATGTTCGTCATTATGTTGTCGGGCCCGAGCTTCTTCCTTCTTGGGGAGCCTCAACTCGGTCGAGATGCTATCCAGATAGATGGAGGTTCGACTCGACCCCACGTCCTTGTTCACGTCGTATTTAGAGCCTACGACGACGGTGACGTTCAACGGTCTTCAAGTCGAAGCCGACCGTTGTGGATCACGATGACATCCGGGCTCAGCATCTCGATCATTTCGTAGACCACCTTGCCGCTGGAGACAGTCCCGTAGATCGAGCACGCTCTCAGCAGCATAACTCGTTCTTAAAGCTCGGTAAGGTCCCGGTTCTGTGGTCGGGATTGTCAACGTTCACATTTGACATCAACTTCGTTGGGATCGGGATGGTCAAGTCAGTATGAAATACGTGCAGACACAGAGCATAGAGTAAGTAAACGCCGCTCCGGTACGGTGATTCGGAGTCCGGAAAACGACACCCAGAAGCTGGCGTAGGCCCACACCAAGGAGGTCTAGAGCTGGATGCTGGATATGGTCGCGGCTCGATAGACTAGTGATTACACGATCGCGGTCTTTATTACCTAAGTCTACTTTCGCTATTAACTCAGCTGGGGTGTGCATGGTTAAATCGGTGTGTAATACTATCGCATTCTTCCCGCTCGCTATCCTGGACCCTACCACATGACATCCAGCCATCTAAGATTCAGTCAGTTCAAGTCCAAAAATTTCTCGTTAGCAACTTAGTCTAGGGACTCTGCAAATCCCATGTCCTTGTCTCCATCCTGTTCCTGACGACTTACAAGATAACGCCGGGGATCGTCCTGCTTGTCCTATAGCTCAGTCCATCTACCTGGATGGTACTCGCACTAGCGTTCAGATCCGCGTTCTGACGCGCAGCGAGTTTTGTAGAGCTATGCGCAGAATCATGCTGAGCATGCTGCATACACAACTGAAGTACATAACCCAGCACACATCCAAGATGCAGCTCTCGGTGAGGGCCGATAAGAACGGCGTCACGTACGTCGTGGACAGCTTCCCTGCGTGGGGTGGGGACTCGTTTGCAATGTCAAACTAGGAGAAGGACCTGACGAGGTTGCCGTGCTTAAAGTTGCTGGCAGTGGCGAACAGCTTGACGTACCTACTTCATCTGATGCACGAGCTCGATGTCGTTGGCAGGTTCACTGGAAGACGGGGTCGTAAAAGCTCATGCAGCACCGCCTCCAGAAGACAAAAGCCCGCTGCAGCAAAGGAAAGGGAAGGCAATGGGATGAATGGACGTTTACGGAAGGATGAGTAACTAGCACCTTCTAAGGCAGTCTCAACCACCAAAGAGCAAAACCAAGGCAAAAAGGCAAGATGAGGCCCGATGACCCAACCACGACAATGGCAGGTACCTACCTTACCTTAAGGTACAGCGACAGCGAGAAAGGAGCAAAGAGACGAACGTCGCTCGCTGGTAGATCGGCCCTCCCATTCACTACGCACTTACCTAAGGTAGGGGCGGGGGGCCGTTGGTACTGTCATGTGAAGAAAATCAGCAAGAGCTCCAACCACAGCTACACCTCATGAACTTCCCTTTCTTCCACCACCTTCTACGACAAAACCTCAACTTCAACCTCAACCATACACACACAGACACATCAACCAGACAGCTCACAGGGAAACGTTGTTGTTGACGGAGACCAGCGACAGCATGGACAGCACTACGTTAGACCGTCACAGTTACGGGACCTACAAGAGGATCGCGCGCCCAACCTATTCTGACCCTCATGCTTTCCATGCCGTCGCTGGTCACCGTCAACAACAACATTTCCCTGCTGAGCATTACAATCGCTCCAACCACATACGTCGCAACGCTGACCTTGTCCTTTGTCTTCGTCTACCTATACATCGTTCAGATCTCGTGGAAGCCGACACTGCTATCCAATACCAGCTACTTTGAGTGCTCAGCTGCATAAGTCGAACCACCAAAACCGCAGCTTCTCTTCCTTCCACCCAGGGGCCATGAGTGTGGCGAGGACCAGGATTTCGAGAGGAATGGAGTCTTCTTTGTCCGGGCACTCCGTAGGGTCCTGATTGTCAACCTTTGACCTGTGGAAGACCTGATTGGCCTGTACAACGGTGCCAACATGGGTCTGTTCAAGACCGTCTTCGAGGTCAACAACATGCAGCTCTTTCTCAAAGACAAGGAGTAAGTTGCCCTTACACGTAGCAAGCCCCGCCGCTCGCTGATACGCGATACAGGTCGAGCCTAAGATCGCTATTCTTCTTCGTTGACCGATATTTTCGGAGCCCTTCGAGGTCCAGCTCTTCATCAAGGACAAGCGGTGAGTCGTCCTTGCATGAGGGAAATTTCACCGCTCGCTAACACGTCACACAGGTCGAGCCTAAGATCACCGCTCTTTCTCGTGATCCGAGACCACCTTGGCACGACGCCCCTTGCGAACCTGCGCAACACCCTGGTCCAGGACCTGACCAAGATCTGGTCCTCCATCTCCAAGACCAAGACCGGCAACTGTTCGTGATGAGTCTCATAATTATGTCGTCCCTCGCCATCACGCCGGTCGAGGTGGACGTACACTTCGTCTACAAGCAGTAAGTCGCCCTTGCGTCTGGGCCAACCCTATCGCTCGCTAACACGACATACAGGTCGAGCCTGAGGTCGCTGCTCTTCCTCGTCGTCCGAGACCCCCACTCATGTGCACGGTCACATGGATAAGAAGGTCATTGACAAGATTCTGTTGCCCGTCGGGGACGACCAGAAGCCCAACTTCATGTGAAGAGTAGGAAGGCCCTTGGCGAACGCCGAGGAGGGCGTTGTTGCGGTAGTGGTATTTTCTGGCAGGTACGTCCATGAAGGCAAGATCAATATGGTGGATACGTTTGCATTCCTGTACTGACGCGTCGATCTAGCGGTCCGGGCCCGTCAACGATCCTGCCTCTTGGCAATATTTCGATCTGACTGGCGTGAGAGCCACGAGCCTCAAACAACTTTGATCTTATCTCCCGATGCCCATACCGATCAGATCATCTGCCCCTGTCCGAAAACACATACTTCATTCATCGACACAGACGACAAAAGCCAAGACAGGCATCAAGGCCGAGTCTCTGAGCTCTTTTGGCCATGCCCGACCCGACGACGTTCACAGCCTCGCTTGCATCGAGCACACAGATGACATGGCAAACTGTTGATATCCCTGTCATAGGGTAGTTGGTTCGAATTGTCCGGATTCTGTGGGTGATGAAGGGTCAATTGCTGGCTCTTGATTCATTTTGTGTGGTGTGTGAAAATGAGGTTCCAGCCGTAGGTTGGAGGGTCAATTGGAGTCTGGTTGAGGGTCGAATCGGCCGCTGCGCCGCCACTGGGAGTCGACAACTCCAAGAACATCAGCCGGCATATCCCGGCGATGGGCCTTGCGGATGTTTTTAAGGATGTTTGGAAAAGGGAGTATAGGAAATATGAGGAGGATAATAAGGTGTAGGGGAACAATTTCTGTGAAGAGGGACACGTCTTATGTGGAAAATTGCCGCTGCATCTGCAAGACTTGGAAATTGGGATTAATGACATACAGGGAAGAAACTTCTCTTTGACGACTCGAGAGAGGCGTCTTTTTCCTTTGGCACCAGAGGATCCTTCCTTCCCTTCGCCTTGAAATATATACCCATTGTTCCAGCACAAACGTCAGCGCAGGGGTTATACGTCTAGGGATGGGCAGATTTCAGTAATTCATCCTTTTGAACCTAACAGCAAATGGCCTCTGTGAGCTTCTGCCCTGCGTCTTACGTCTACTAACAGTCAAGACCGTGCTGTCGGAGTTGTAGGTAGTGAACAACATGTCTAGAAGAGGTTCCTGGTCTGCGACAAGTACGACATCAGCGATGTTCTCTCTCACAGCAACATCAAGAGGTGGACGTCCGGGACGCCGGTGACCCTGGACGACCGGATTAACGGGGTTCCTGCGACTCGCATCGTCAGCAACCAACTCCGGTCAACGATAAGCCTTTCATCGTCAACACTATCGACAGGAGGCTCGTGGTCTACCACGTGGATAGGGAAATGTCAGAGAAGACGCTCGTGTACATGGGCTAGATCACCAACACCTCCCTTGCCCAGTTCCTGTCCGCGGCTATGACGGTATACAAGGCCAACACGACATATGCGCTTCTTCAAGAAGGCCGCGAAAAAGATCACCGGGGGTTGGGCATACGACTGGATGTCGGATAAGTTCCAGTGCAAGGCCGCGACGTGAGCGATAGCTGTGAAGTGCGGCATGGACGTGAAGACGAGCGACGGCGTTCAAGGCCATGCCATCCAGCCTCGCGAAAACACCGTAAGGGTACAGAGAATACGCGACGTACCTCGGGCCATTGAGGATCAGGTGCTGTTGCTTTCTGGGCAGTCGGCGGATAGGGTGGATCGGGGAGGCGGTCGGGGCCACACCAACGACCCTTCAACCCCCATACGCAGCACTGCACACCACTTTATTGACGATTCGTGCCAATCATACGGTTACTCGCTAACTTATATGCTGACAGGTACAGAGAGTACGGCCCCAATTTATGCTTAGAATATGAAGAAAGCCGATCGACCCGATATTGACTTGAAGGTCTTCGAACAAATACACACACGATCAAGCACAGGATCGCATAGACTGTCGTTGAGAGCTTCACGCCAGAGTTCACCATCAACTCCAAAACCAGAGATTACTATGCTATGTGGTGGTCAAAGAGAGCTCGTTTAGAAAGAATCTACATCACCCCCAGGCAGACGAATGTCAGGACAATCAACGTCAAGAAGGCTGATCAGGACGTCTCCGCAGCTAGTAACAAGGACGGACGAGATACAGGACGCTATGAGCTTGGAGCAGACGGGTAGGCGCTCGGAATCGGTCCTAGGAAAGCGGAAGATGGAGAATCCTGTTGAAGATGACGATGACGAAGACGGAGAGGACAAGGGAGGATATAAGGAGGGCGAGTACGGACATGGATATGATCACGGGAACGGTGGCGACGACGAGAACCGCGACAACAAGAGCAGCGACAAGATTAATAACGAGGATAATGACGGAGATCATGACAAGGATGACGACGAGGATGATAACGACGAGGGTAGCGACGACGATGATAGTGATATTAATTTGGACGAGTTTGTGGATGCGACGTCAGAGACGAACGCGACTGCCGGAATCCTGATGGCCGAAGAGAAGAGGCCCAGCACGACCTTTGCGAAGTTGTTGTGGGCCAAGGTATAGAGAACGACCTTGGCCATGTAGGCGAAGCAGCCTACGACAAGATCAAGTCGATCAAGTACGTCCCAGGCACAAACATCGGGTCGAGCGCTAACGAGTCCAAGCAGACGAGGGACTAGCTCAGCAAGATCGACCTCGAATTCATCATCAAGCTCGCAACTGTCGCCGTTGTCAGTGCCAATGTCGATACCAAGCGCTCACCTCTCAACGATGGGGTTTCAGTCACAAAAAGCCCTCGCTTCCTCGAACAACATCCCGCACATGAAGTATGCCATCGGCCTTGCGAATTTCAGAGGAACTAGAAGGTCAGCAAGGTCAGGCTATTCTCCGGCATCATCACGAAGGTTAATGACGCCTGTAGGAGAGCTGCGAGAACGTCGTCATAAAGGACGTCCCAATGAAGATCTTGAACATGGACCCGAGAATGAAAGACACGGGCATCATCTCTAAGAAGCGAGGGAAGTCAATACCATCCACCGTCAAATGTTACCAGCTAACCGCGTGCCAGCTCACAGCCTGATACAAGCACCCGGTCGTGGCTAAGAAAGGAACACACACCCCCGAAGCCAAACGAAGTAGTAAGGATACTCGAGGTCAAGAGCTCGTGATGCTACGCAACTGTTGTCATCTCGCTCTCGATGAACGGACAGGTCACGGATTACGACAACGATGTGGAGTTCACCATCAAGCTCTGCGATACATTCTATACAAAGGTCATGACGTACAGGAGCCCACCGCAGTGCTCCTCTGTGGGCCTTCGGTTTACTGACGAGTTCTTGATGAACGCCGAGGTTCAGCAGTGCAATACAGACAGGCTTCGTTGACGGATTCTTCAGGCAGAATTGTATTGCGACGATAAGCGTGGCAGTGGCTACCCCAAGACTCCCTCGATCAGGTCGGCCGCTGTCGATTCCTATCCTACCCGAATACTCTCGGTAATGAGACTATTAATATGCTGGCTGAGTAGATGACCCGATAAAAGGATGTCAGTTGGCGTCTTTTGTATGACCTGGCCGAGTGTCTGCTCCTTACACTGGATCTAAGATGAGGGCGGGCGCTGAAGGTGGACAGACAATGCGACGAGTGTAGGCTGAGCTTGGCTTTCTCCAAGCACTGTTGGAGCGAGCTATACTGAGGCATATGTGGCGACGATCAAAGGGAAAAGCAGACTCGTCACCATACGAGAGCTGCAATTGAGCGCAACTCGGGCGTCGCTGGACGTCCACAAAACCAAGTGCTCCAGCCAGTCTCAGGACTCTCAGCCCAGACTTGGTCTCGTACACCTTGGGCGACACGAGACGGCAGGTCTCCTCGACCAAGTTACCAGCGTCTTCACAATCGTAATCGACGAAGATGCGGTTGGTGATGACGTTGTAGTTGACGACGTAGTTGTTGCTCTCTCCCCTCCACTCGTCCCCGAAGCTGTGGAAGATGACGGTGACCTGGTTGACGATGAGATACTCCAGCTGCAGATATCAGCTATCAGACATCAGACATCAGACATCAGCTACATCGATTGAAAGCCCGCGAGCCGCCTTCCTGTCAAAAAAACCCTTCCCAGCCATGGTGTCGAGCATGGTCCACGAAAGCAGCTTCTGGTTTTCCGATTGATGAAATAACTCCGAATCATGCGTCCTTGTACGTATGGACTAGTGGTTGGTTCTGTTATAAGTTAGCCAGAGCACACTCAACAAAAGAGCTAGAGCTCTTTGACCTACTGTTTAGGTCATTGAGGCTGACTGGTAGGATGACGACCGACTCTGTGTACACGATCAATACTCGACTACGGAACACAGATGAGAGCTTCACGAGCGCGTTACATCACGTGAGATTACTTCCGCCAGATCGCTGGCCATCGGGAAAGCTTCCTCCGACAACTCCTCATCAAGCTCCTTTCTCCCACAGTTACTCGCGGAGAGAGCTCCGCCGACAACATCTCCACTACCAAACCGCTGGCCGCTGGGGCAGGACGTCCCAGAACGTTTACCCTCATTCCTTCCGCCAGGGCTCTCATCAGATGGCTTTTGCCTTGTTGAACAACCGTCAAGATTCAACAGTTGCCCAGATCTCTAACTTCTACCAGATCTCTTCTAGGGTAACCATACGAACTCAACAATGGTCCTCCTCACTGCGGGTATCTTCCGTTTGCTGCGTGCGTACTGTCAGCTCTGACCCTCGACTTTTCCCCCTCAAAGTACTCCGTACCCTTTCATTTCGCATCCCGCTCAACGATAGCCTCCCTTTCTGTGCTACGCGATCACGAATTTACCACGCCGAAACGGTTCTGGATTTGTATGAAGAGACGCTCTAGTTACGGCCGGGAAGCTTCTGTCCGTCATCGGACGCAACGGCATCGTTTGCGGGGGCATGGCTCCTCGACGCACGCAACGACAAGTACGGTACGGCAAGTCCATCGAGCGGCTCGTTGAACAGGAAAGTGCCATAGCTTCCGTCAGTACGGGAATTTCGTGTTGCCGGGCACCTCCAATCCCACTGATTTTCTCCAGTCAATTTCCTCTCCAGCCAGTTCGACGGTACCTCTTTTGGCTACTTCTATAGCAAGTTACATCCTAAAGCCAACTCGATAGCAGGGCACCTCGTTCTGCAGCTTCAATGGGCAAGAGTCAAGCCACCCATGCGCGTGGCTGGAACAGTATATTGAAGACCGCAAGACGCCCAGCGAATTCATCTGCCTCTCAGGATTTGGCTTTGAGAAAACCGCACGTGTGCGGGGCGCAGTCAGACCGACAGAAGATATACGCGTTGGAATGTGGGAATATGAGCAACGGAAATATACGATTTGAGGATCAGGGGATAATTTGGAGATGATCAGGGCAGTAGCGTATCGGAAACTCCTTACAGCAAATATGGCGGAAGCTATGTCAAATTTCTACTGATAATATTTTGGCAGTTATTGATTTGGAAGCGATCCATCATTGAATTCGACGGCTACACGAGGCCACGAAGTCACCCAAATTTGAGAGTTACAACAGCGTCTAAGCCTTGTGGCAGAAAATCGTTCTCATAATCGTCTGCCACACCCGAAGGATGATTTTTAAAACACATCACTCTCCATGGAATCAATAATTTCCGACACTCATGAGGGGTGACTGTGAGCCAATACCACACGGCAAACGACCCGTCTGATCCTGGTCAGTCCACGGTTCGCCGATCTGGCATGCTCACCAGTCGCACTCTGGCCGATAGCACCGACCTGAAGTTGCTGTACTGGATGAATAGCAGCGATGTAGATGCATTGAAGCATAGGGCAGAGAATGGATAATTGGGAGGTGACAAGGTCCGTAAAACAGCCCATTCTGCGCTACCTCAATTTCCCCTCCTTCAAGGCTAGTCGACTACCCATCGTCACTGTGAGACCATCGTGAGTCTCAGAACGTCGCCAGTCTCAAGACGTCGTCAGCCTGAGAACGTTGAGAGGGTGTTTCACCATGCAGGACCTCCAGTGCTTGGAGGCCTGCCAACAAGGCCCCGCCGGTCTGTTCATACTAACTACCGAGAGAGGTCGTATGATGGTACGGCTGTTCTTTCGAATCAGTCACGTAAAAGCATCCTCTGACAAGGCCTTCAGCGTTCCCCCTCAGCTTTCTTCTGCCGGATGTCGACCTCGTCACTGAAAGGCCATTTTGATGACATTTTCGTCTCGCCAGAAATCCCTGCGGAAAGAGCTCCTTCGAAAAGCCCTCCGTCGTCACCAGACCCTCAGGCCCATTATCCCATCATCCCATCATCCCATCAGGCCGTAAGGCCGTCAGCCCGTCAGCCCGTCAGAGCGCTGGAAGCTTGCCACGGGCCTAAGGTCGAACGGACCCCCGAGGAGGCTATTGGCCCCGCTATCGATGTCGACGAGGTTGAGAAAAGGCTGCAGGATGTAGCGCCGCCCCCCAGAACGTCGCCTCTAACAAATGCAGTGCCGAGACCGCGGTGTACAAGCCCGCAAAGGCTGCTGAGACCAAGGTCGAGGAGTCCGAGGCCACTGCGAAGGAAGTTGCTGAGGAGGACATCACCTCTTACTCCACCGCCGAGATCCATTAGTTAAACATATCCCCAAAGTCCACCACCAGGTCTCTTCTAGAGCGGCCGTATGGAACGAAGGCTCTGCCACCAACTCCCTCCTTCCATGCCATATTCGCAATCGAATACAATTATTGGACAACGTGCCGGCCGGCGCCAAGTCTTCTCGGGGGCGCCACAATATGCTCGGTACTCTCAGCCGCCCATGGGTCAAACTCAAGCCGTGCCAGTCCTGAACCAGTCTCTCGCCGAACCTTGTCCTTTCCGAGGGAGCTTTGAGCCTCACTTCGTCGACTCGCCAAATGTTCAGCCGACACGATCACCCAGTATAGCTAGAAAGTCACCTACTATATATATAGCCTGCCCTGCCGACGTGGGCACTAGCAACAACCGTACACTATGACAGGATCTTTGCAATAGCAGCGACGCCAACGTGCTTCGCACAAACCGCCTAAACGTCGGCCTAACGGCTAGATTCGATCAGGTCGGCCCATACCACGAGGCAGCCAAAATGTACGAGGCTGATTTAGGGGACCTTGGAGAACATGATCTCTCACTTGGATTGCGAGATTCGAGGTGGGTCTTGGGACTCGTGGATTATCTTTTGAAGATGATTGAGAAGAAGCTAGGTTCCCCATGTCAGAATGAAGCGAGTCTTCCTCTCGAACTCAGAACTTGGATGTCTTCCTGGTCCATGGCTAACAAAAATGGCTACAGACCGATTCGAGGAAGACGACAATTCCAAATCCGAGATCATACGAACACACGTAGAGAAGTTTCCAGAAACCATCAGACCAGGGTATTCCGTCCTACAGCTCCATAGAGCTTTTAGTCCACGTTGTTTCACAGAAGTGTAGCATTGAACAACCTGACAAGGTCGACAGCGATGCTGTCGTTTTTGATAATATAATACTGAAGATTCCGACATCCCTTACATCCACATGATGCCATTCTGACACCTGTGTAAAGGAATCATTCAGTCGTAACGGAACCTGGTCACAGCCAAACCCATTAAGAGAGGCTCGAGTGACTACATCCCGATTCCTGTTGGGATCTTTCTCCGCTTGAGACCCCATGGAAAGAATTGCTAAGAGGTTGTTGTTTCCATCAAATGAGAATCTTCAGAATGACCAGCAACTGGACACCGGCGGGAAGATGGCTCGCAACATAAGCACCGATAGCTTCCCGGGGCAAGATTTGTCTCAAAGAGGTCAACTGCACCTTCTGGAAACATCAAACTGGAGACAGACAAGAGACAATAACAGCGCCGAGAAGATCTCCGGAGCTGAATGGGTCAACATTTGCCAGACGTGCGCAACAAGATATCATTCCTGTCAAGACTCAACTCATACATGAAGTGATTCTCACTCAGTCTCGGTCTATCATTGTGCAGAGCTGGGCATAGAATTGAGTTTCTCGAGCCTCTCAAAGGGTTTCCAGGTGACGGTGCGTTGTTCCCGGTGCTACCACTTGTTCCACCATGGTCAGTGCAAGATGCCAAGCGATAGCGAAGTAAATGATATAGAGCGTCAGAAGTGGCACAACTGGACGGCTAACACCTATGCGGAGTGTCTGGTGCATCTGCAGTTTTCCAAGTTGAAGGAGTCAGTGATAGGGAAGCGTTGAACATGACTGGAGCCATGAGATGAGCTGTTTCGGGTTAATGTGTTCAGTTCATTACTGATTCCACATAATAGGGCATGAGAAGAAGACGGAGACATATGCCGAGATCACTGGCTGCTGAAGAGGGTCTGGTGAGTTGACCCAAGTGAAGAACTGTCAATTACGGGAGCTACAACGAAACAATCTCCCCGCGAATGCCCCTCGCGTCGAAAGAAAGCTAGAGACGATTGAATTGCTATTGAGTCGTAGCTAGAATGGTCTGTTCCAATCAAGCTTCCGTCAGGTGACCTCGCCCTCGCTTTTGGCCCATCCGTATTGATGTATCTGCCGATAAAGTGACTGAAGGGGCCGGAGGGAGCGTCATTGGGTCCAGTCGATGTCATTTGTTTACATGCCGAAATCCGAATACTTTGTATGTGTCGAGGAGCTCCGAAGGCGAGGGCAAGTTGAAGATGTTTCTACGTTGTCTCTATTTTCTCTCTCTTCTTCTTCTTCTCGTTGTCAGTTTCCGAACGGCTCTCTCCATCTGACCTTCAGACTCCAGACTGCTCTATCCTCCTATTCTCTTACCTATTCACCCACGGTCTAGGTTTGCCAACTCTCTTGCTTGCATTGAACAAATCGATCTTCGGCTAATCATTCAATTTCTCCTAGATCCAGAACGGGTTGAGTTCGATTCATTGGTTTTCTCGCACGTGTCTCTTCGCCTACTTCAATGGATAAGAAACCCGCTGCATAGCGAGGCACTGAGACATGAGAAGACCTGCAACTGCAAATTGCTGCAGAAACACTTGGGAGGAGTCCGTTCACAAACATACTTTCACGGTGCAATTTCATCTGGCAGGGCTCTGCCAATAGCAATTCTACGACAGACATATGTCATTAATGTCGCTAGAATTCTTTATCCAATTTTAATCCCATATTTTACTTCCCCCTACCACCTCAGCTGAACATCAATAACGCCGCCTGGCAAAACCACATTTAGGAGGTTCAAGATGAAGGCTTTCAAGGTAGTTCTCTAGATCCTGACCTTAGCTTGCCCGCATATTGTAGTCTCAGATGAGTTGTTCCACATGTAAGACCATTACATATACTTAATGACAGCTGAAAGATCTCCTTCGACATGGGACTTGACACACAGCAATGCTGCTATTGATGTTGGATGCTGTCGTTGCGACTGTCACGTCAGATTAGTCACCAATACTCCACTCGGCTAATCCTCGGGAACTTCCCTTCCTCTCAATGTACCGGGAACCTGACCCACACACTGGACTTCAGACAAACAGACCACAAGAGAGGCTGGACTGGCTGTACAAACCACTCATGTGTTTGGCAGGTGCGGTCCCTTCGCAGCTGCTGTCAATACTGGTGGTCGACATGGGACTTGACAGCAGCATTGTTGCTGTTAAATGAGCATTGCTCCTTCCACTCGTCAATTGCTGGCGACTGCTGCTAGTTGTCGGCTGGGTCGCAAAGTTACTCCTTCCTGCCTTTCCAACAACAAGCTCTTTCCTGTCCTCTCACTGTTGCCAATCTCGACGATGCACCTTCCTTTTGCCCACTAAAAGATCTTTCCAGAGCTCAGCGTGACTTCCCAGTTCGAAGATTACCTAGGTCGCCGTGTAATCGTCTCGGCCTCCCTTCCTTCTTCAGTCTACCTCACCTAACCTTGCGTCACTCTGGCAAACATGGCTTCCTCCCCATCAACTGGGCGTTCCCTATTGGCATTCCTGGAAATTATTGTGCTTGCTTGACGGCGCTGTTCTCACTTGCCCCGGACTCCCTCATCTATTAATGATTATCGTCTACCTCTTTCTTGATGGCTCTGGCCCTAAGCGGCGGCGGCCATCGTCTGCCCATCAGCGATACCTCGCTACCATACCTTACCTACACAGAAGCTACCTCACGATGCCCCCGCCTTCCCTCCCTCAAAAGGTAACAACAACATCGCACAGATACCCTCCCGAGAGATTCGCTAAATTACATGGGTGGTGGGCATTGACTGTGCTTAGAAAATGGACCGGAGGAACTGGCCCGGACGGACTCGCCAGCGAGAGGCCAGGAATTCAACAGCAGCTGCTGGTATACACGTCAGCACAGCAACCGTACGGATGGCAAGCTTCCCTTGTTCCATATTCCGTCCACACCACAACCATGCGGTGCTACCGAATCGACTTTTGAGACCGTTTCACAACCACTTCACACCAGCCTCCACACTCCAAGGACATCTCGCTGACGCTCGACATCTCCGACTACATACCCGTCAGCTCCGCCACGTCCCCCTCAACCTCATGACGCGATGTCTGGGGTCCCTCTACCCGCATCGCAGCCTCAATAAAGTGGTGGTTGTTGCTGTGTGTGGAGGTGGAATGAAGAGGAAGTGGGTGAAGCTCACGGTATCTTCCGAGGTGGTTCTCCAGAGGCTGTTTGTAAGTAGAAGAGCCGTTCATGTGACCCAGACCGCCTTCCAAGCCCACCTTTTCCGCTGAATGTCGAGAATCCAACAACAGCTGGGCATCGTTCATTTTTCTTTTGACAAGTTCTGCGGCTCTCATCACCCACCCTTGGCAAGACATCGAGTCTCAATTGGATCTATGGGAATCTTGTTGATCAGGCTCGGTCTACTTCTACGTCCGATGCCGGTACAAATGTCACGAAGTCACTATGGCGCCACCTTCGCTCGATCCCACTTGTCCTCCTAACTTCCCCCCTCGAATCGGCGCTCTCGCTTCCGCCTGTCGCCTATCTCTTGTTGATAGTAACGAGCGCAGTACCAGTAGACTTGCACAGACTGATTTGTCTCCTGGCGCGCGCGTCGCTGAGTCCTTGCAACCTTCGCTAAAGAAGCATATCGTCACAACAGCGGGCTCGAACGCCTCAGTTGCTGAAGCTTTAGGCAGTGGGCCCAGGGAACGGTAGGTCTTCCAGACTGGCGTTGCAACACTAGAGAACCAATCTCCTCGAGAGGCAGAGCACCTAACATTATGTAGATGATTACCGCCTCGATTTGTCAATCAAAAGTCTTCTCGGAAGTTGTTCGAGGCTGCAAGATGTGCCCAGACGCCCAGGAAGCCGGCAGTACGGCAGGCGGCGACAGAATCTAGAGTCGGAGAGCTGGCACAGATGATATCGACCATTCTTGGATCTTCCTGCCCAACCTCTCCAACGGCGTCCTTTCATCAGCGCATCTGGACTAAAGCGAATGCGATCATTGAGCGGAACAGTAATTTCGAATCAGTGAAAGAGAGGTTAGGAGCCGCAAGCTTGCGTCGCGAAAGAGTGGACGGGACCGACTGCCGCCGCTCCACGTGGCCTAAGGAGCTGCTGTTGTACCACCGGCATGGCGCGCAAACTTCAAGCCAGTTGATTGCAATGGGTAGTGAGTTGCTCCCGGCCCTGATGACACGTTTCTAGGCACCACTTCTGATGTTGGCGAGTAGTTCCCGGTCTCGAGATAACGTCAGACTAGGAGTCGGCCGCGATCGACGTCGCAGTACGGCCCAAGTATGCCAAACACGCTGCTACGGGGACCATGGGACGGAAAGGTCGGCTTCGCAGCTAGGGTGGTGGTGGCGGTCGTGCTTCTCACAACCGCGGTCAGGAGGGCACGTCTCTCGGGAGTGCCACGTCTCTTGGGAGGCTCTGAGCCTCGCAAGATCAAGTGCCGCAACTGCGACGAGGATGTTCATCTCTCCAAGGATTGCGAGAGGCCTGATGGCAGTAAGTTACCGAGCTGGCTTCATTGACTTTTAGACATTGACACATATTCCTCAACAGTCACCCACATCAAGTCCAACAACTGCGCTCTAGAGCTCCGAAAACGTCCGGCGCAACCCTTCTCCCAATCTCTCCTATGGCGACGGTGCTTGCGACAATTACCTCCGATCCCCCTTCTTGACGGAAGCGCTACTTCCGATCACCCGCCGCCGCCACATTCAGACGTCGAGACACGTACAGGGAGAGCGAGAGCGATGAGCCCACATCCGACATCCGATTGTTTCACTAGATATGTGGGTGATGCAGTTCCTGATCCGAGTATCTCTTCGGATCTTTGTGAGAGCTCGAGGATAAAAGAGCTGATGGAGAAGAATGGCAATTTCCTGGTAATTGGACTACACGAAGGACGCGAGTGTCTCCTACACTTGTTGCCTGCTGAGACATTTGGTACTGCCTGGCAACCGAGGCGACCTCTGTTCAGGCTCCTTCAGTGTTGTGTCGTGGGGATGCTAGGTGGACTTTCGGCATGACGTACATCTCCCAGTCTGGCAAGCCAATGGTCTCTGCATCAGAAATCCATTTCCGATAGTTTGGACAGCTGACCATTCATCAACATCACTCATCCTTCAGTACATTGTCATGATGATGATAACTTCTGGAGGAAATGTATTGGGCTTGCGTCTAGTATCCCTTCCCGTGCCCGCTCTGACCGACCATACATCCCATCGTTAAGACGCATTGCTTTCGAATAGTTAGGCGCGCGACCACAGCACGTATCCGGTGCCAGGACGAGGCCATTTGCACGAGTTCATTCGAGTGATACACGTATTGCCTACTGCAAAAGATTCAATCAGAACCTCGGCTCTCGCTGTGCTTTCCCTTTTCATTATAGTTAGCTGGTGAAGGTGTAGGTGCTTGCATCTTGGACGGGGACAACCGTCCTGCCGACACGTGTGCCCATGGCAGCGGCGGAGGAATGGTCTACAATGTTCCCTTCTGGCCCGTAGCGCAACGCTTCAAATGCAACGATCTTTCTTGGTTTGGGGGCCTCGTGGGGCGGCCTGGAAAACCTACCTTTTCTGCTGAGGCAGACTTGGCAGATCCAGTGCGGAGACGTGACTGTGCCGATAGCAAGCAATTGTGCGAATTGCATCGGTAACCTGATTGAAGAGTTTGACACATGTGCATTATCAGACCAGTGGTAGTGAGCAAACATGCCGCGCGCTTCCGTAGCAGGCAAACAGCCCCTTTCATCATTCATCAAATGGGCCGGGCTTGAATGATGTGACTTGATAATGAAGCAAGGGAGCACACGCGGTGATGGATGGGGGCGCAATACGCCACACGTGATGGGCCCGGGCGCCTCTGTGGCGCTCTCCGTGCCTTAGCGCTTTGCAGCTACCATGCTGCGCTCGCTATGGAATTCTTACTACCATAGAAGCTTGTGAATCAATCCATATACATCAATCACATAGTTGGTGTATATGACCGCAAAAATTGTTGGCTGTACCGATGGCTTTCGTAAAGAGTTGTGCTTTCCGGGCGGTGGTGGTCGACTCGTTGCTTGGCAGTGCGTCTGATGTGTATTAGTCTCCTCGCTTCCGCGACGATGAGAATTCCGCTGCGCGGTTTGACCGCACCGCCAATGCGAGCTTGTCGTGCCTATTAAGGTGGCTCGAGTGCGCCACAGAGGCGCACGAGCCAGTCATGTGAGCCTGGTCTGGAAGACATCCGGCACCAGCTGCTGCCTCCAAAAGCTGCCGGGTGCACGGTCGATTTTGGCTTACCCCAAAACCTGCCAGCTCGCAAACGTGCATTGCACAGGCTGTGGACATGGGCGGCTAACATAGGAATGGCCCTATTTCTAGCATCTAACATCAGCGCATACCGCATACCGCAGCTTTGGCAGGAATCGCGATACCGCTTGCGTGATCCGCCAAATGCCGCCGGGAATCTCTTCGGATGACGATGGCTGTGGCTGACTGAGTCGGCAACGATAAACGATCTGCCCAACATCAGAGACGGTAGGACCAGAATTGGCTCCCTTGTTATTCTTTGGTCTCGACCGCGGGCTAAGGTTGATCACAGGATCCTCGAACGTCCACGGTCATTCGATTCCGCAAGGTTTCCGTCACACGCTAAGCGTTTCTCAACCCCGAGGTGGCCCGCTGCCATCTGCCATCGTATGCCCGACTGTCGTGTAGCGTAGCCTACCGTGGGCTGGTCTTTGCGACCAGAGCGAGGCCCTGGCCCGAGTTTGTTAGAGGCACATCCAGAGTGTCGGATTGGAAGTCCATTTCAACCCTCGACCAGACACCAATTGTCCCTCTAGCCTACGCTTGGAATCTCCCTTTTACGTCATCACGCAGAATCAAATAATGGACAGCAATTGTCCCTTCATCACCCACGAACCGAACGGTTTGAACCAGCTATCCTGTGACAGGGATACCAACAGCCCTGGCCAGAGTTTGCTCAACATCATGCAGAGTGCAATCACTCAGGAGCCTCGTCTGAGCTTCTGGAACCCGAACCCTGGATATCTGATTGTTGCGGCACAGCCAGGGTGAAAGTACGATGGGCAATTTTGAGCCAAACAGTGATTAGGCGGATAGTGCACTCCACCGTGGTTCCAGTCTCAATAGACATTCTCAGTTAAGAGATTGCCTGCTGGGTTCCTTTCACTTCCTTCATAATGAGACGGTGCTGTGCCATGCCCCCACTTCGTATCTATCAACGCAGCCATGCTCAGATCGGTCCCCTTGATTGTTATCATCCAAATAGCATAGATCTTAGTATGTTTTCCCCTTTGATACGACAGCTTTAAGTAACCACTGGTACGTCTAAAGCCTGGAGGGAGAACAATAAAGCGCTGTGCAAATAGATTCCCCTCTCCAGTCTAGCAAGTTCATTTCTTCGGGCTTCAACATACGCTTAGAGCGGATCATGTTATTGTCAGGGTGTCTTGATGGGTAAGTCGAGGCAGACAAGTGCCTATGAACGCCTCAGTAGAGGTCGGGACCGAGGATTCGATGATGCGTCAACATCTACGGCGTGACCTCTCCTGCCTGGCTTGTCTCATCTCTGGCCTATTTCAAAACAGGCACCGATGACGTAGCGCCCGTTCTGCGGGGTTCCTCCGGCGCATCTGCTCGCGTCATAATCTGTGCGGGTGGTGGAATGATGTGGCGAACAATGACACTCGAGTATCTGTTCTTCAACCAAGTCAGGCTTCTCCTCGCTTGCCTGTATGCTGCACACAATCTTTTATGACGTTCGTAACCATCGAACAAGGTATTGAGATCTTGAATACTGAAATATTCAGAGGAGAGGTTGATCTATTGGCGGTCAGGTCAAGGCATGTACTCTTATATTCCGCGAAAGAAACGCATCGTTGAATTTTCTTGAGAGTCTATTCGGGGCTCAGGTTGCACTAGAGCATGCTACACCCCTGGGACGATGCCAATACAGAAACCGATGCGAGAGCTTTGATCATTACTTTCATCTTGAACTCATGCCACGCTCTTTTTCCACATCCCTCGTTGCAGAATCCACATTCCTCGTTGAAGAATGTGCCTCATGGGATCCTCTAGGGGGTCAGGCAACCTTGTAGGAAAGGCCGAAGTCTGTGGAAGAATTCATCGGGCCTATGCCTTTTGTGTATCTTCCCCAAGATGTCTTGAAGCTTGTCGATATGGTCCATAAGGCTCTTCAACAGTGTTTCCGCCGCTGTTCAGGCCTTTTCTTACAGATGCAAAAGATATACGGTAGTAGCGTTCATGATAAGGCCCTTTTGTAATTTCATGGCTTTGTACACCAAGATTCAAGGTTTGTCTTTAAGCTACATACCACTAGGCTCGCCACTTTGGCAGTCTAACAATGTGAGGGCAGCGCAAGTCGTAGCTGGAGGTATTTTCAACATGCTCGGAAGCTGAGAGTTATGGGAGAGGCATGAATCTGGGGGTTTAGAATGGGTCGGTCACGACTTTGGAGGAACAGTGGATGAAGCCAGGAGGTCATGTACATCGAACATCATACAAGACCGTAGGTTCAAACTGGCGGGAGCAAAACTGAGACAGCAAGGGAAAGCTTGAGTTTGAAGAAAATGACTGTACGTCAGCGCGAGGTTAATCCTTGATAGAAGATTCCACGCAGGTTACAATGCACGTATATATTAAGAACTAAGATGGCAATGCATGGTGAAACTTACGGGATTGTTCTATTCCAACATACGGTTTCATCTAGTCTCTGGGAAGGGAGGGGGGAGGCACTAGAGGGCTCACACAGTACGTTTGCATCGTATGTATCAATAATCCTGCTTCTTTGATCTCAAGCTATCACTTCACTTGTAATATTGTCTTAAGAGTCAGAGGAAATCTACTTCAGGATCTTGCAGAAATGGGTAGGATACAGTATCTTCCATATATTGCTTCGTTTTTGGCAAATTTCTCAGAATAACGTCGCGGTTCCCGACTTTTGAAAAGAGTACTTTGGTAATGACAGTTGGACTTGAGGAGGCAGCCGAGGGATTTTCGTCCTCTTTCTTATACTTTGGCTTCCCAAAGTGAGAGACGCCGTCAATCACGATGCTGAGAATGTCGGGGATTCTCTTAGTGTAATTAGGGTCGAAGTCTGTCCCGCCACAAGAATTGAGTCACTATTTGCAAGTTCCGACTTGATCCTCGCCTTTGCCGTATGTGTATCCAATCATCTGGTCCGATGTGGTTGCCGCATGTGTGCAGGGCGTATCCCCTGTCTTCATCTGTTGATCCAGAAGGAGGGACAAGAGAAGAGAGGAACGAATAGAACAAGGAAACAAGGAGTTGCCTGACCCAGTATCCAAAACCCTAACTGGACCGGGATTCGCTACCAAACTTGAGCTTGAGCGTTGCTATGATCATGCAAGTAAAGAAAATATCTGGTATGCAGGCATAGTAAGAGCTGCGTCAAACAGAGAGACATATCGTACAGGACCAATGAGTCTTTGTTTGAACATCACCTGAGCGATGATGAGCAGGGCGTCAAGGACGATTTCTGCAACGATATTGACCAGTTTGGTATTACATGAGTACTTGGGAAGGTTAAGCAATCGGTCCTCTCTGGCCCGGATGATTGTATTGATCTCGTCATCGTTGACATAGCCAGCTTTGTCCGTACATCTGCCCTTGTTCGTATTTGGCTCGAGACGAGTGCTGGTAAATTCGCACGATGGCCCCTAACAGCTGTCTGCTATCATTCAGCAAGATCAGCCGTAGCTTACGCGGTAAGAAAGATTTCTTTGATGAGTTTCTA